ATTTGGTATGAGTGGCTAAAGAAAAAGTAATATCTGATATTTGGATAAGTTATGGAAATGACAGAAGACGTGCATTTAATCATAAACTATATAGAGAAATTAAAACATTAAAAGAACGAAGGAGTTACTGTAACAAGGCAGATCAAGTCAATGATAAAGATAAAGAAAAAAAAATTTAACCATTGCTCAGTATATGCTGTAAAATGTATATATGTACCGTGTTTCTCCAACAATACGGCCTCCACCAATAGGAAGCCCCAGCATGATTTATTGGCATAAAATCAAATTAAGCCCCTCCCCCCAAATTAAGGCCCTTTTTAAACATGCGAAATGGGGGGGGGGAATGGCGGGGGGGGGGCTTGCTGTTAGGAAGTACTTTGTTGCATGCCCGGATATGGTGCTGCCTGCGTTGGTGGAGCACTTCATATCGGGAGACCTTCCGCCACCGTTGCTTTCCCTTCTCCCTTGCTGCTGCGGCATTACAGTAACGCCTCGGCGTTTGGCGCAGCCATGTGCAGCCGGTCAGGGCTCCTCCCTGCAACCGGAGCCCTGAGGAGACACTTGGCTTCAGGCGCTCCTGTGGCCGCCTTCCCTTTGCCTTCAAACCTCCGCTCATCCCATCAGGGCCGCGCCGGAGCCGTGCGAGCTGAGCAGAGCCGGGAAAGCGAGCCGCGGGTGTTTCCTGGTTCTGTCCAGCCCACACGGCTCTGCCGCGGCCCTTGTGGGATGAGCAGAGGTTTTTAAAATAATTCACTTTACCTTCGAAGGCAAAGGGAAGGCGGCCACAGGAGCGCCTGAAGCCAAGTATACCAACAACAAAAGGCAAATCCTAAAGGTGGGCTGGAGGGAGGTGGCTACGTGCCCCCCGGGCTGCTTCAATGCAAGGTCCTGGCTTGCAGCATCCTGCCGTTGCCGCTGCGTCCTTTTTGCCGCCGCCTCCCTCTCCGACTGCGAAACTCGTGTGCTTCGCCAAACACTCTGAGCGAGGCGAGCTCTTTCATACATAGAGAGAGAGAGAGAGGGAAAGATGCTGGCGTGCTCCGAGAGGCTGGCTCTTTTCTCTAGCCGAGGCTGACATCTGACTGAATCTCTATCCCGCTCCTTTATCCTCACGACAGGGTCGGCAGCGACGCTCTCTGCTGCGGCCACCTCAGCTTGCCAGCCTTGCCCCGCTATGAGACGATACTGTGACAGCCGCCGCCGCCGCACTCCCTTCTCTTTCCTCGCCTCTCCTCCCTTCGCTGGCAGGAGTGTGCGCGCCTGCTGCCACTGCCACCGCTCCTGAGGCCGTCTGGGGCGGGCAGGTGGGAAAGCAAGCAAGGTGGCTGCGCTGTCTTCTTTTTCCCTCAGCGAAGCGCCGCCGCTTGCCGCCGCCACCTGCGATGGGCGAGGCGGCGGAGGCACCCGAAATGTCACCAAGGCAGCGAGTGCCTCCCCGCCGGGCCCTCCGCTCATCCCGCCAGGGCCGTGGCAGAGCCATGTGGGCTGGGCAGAACCAGGAAACACCCGCGGCTTGCTTTCCCGGCTCTGCCCAGCCTGCACGGCTCTGCCACGGCCCTGGAGGCACTTCCTGTCAGCCTCAGCTAGAGAAAAGAGCCAGCCTCTCGGAGCACGCCGGCGTCTTTCCCTCTCTCTCTCTCTCTATGTATGAAAGAGCTCGCCTCGCTCGGAGCGTTTGGCGAAGCACACGAGTTTAGCAGTCGGAGAGGGAGGCAGCGGCGAAAAGGACGCGGCGGCAACGGCAGAATGCTGCAAGTCAGAACCTTGCATTGAAGCAGCCCGGGGGGCACGTAGCCACCTCCCTCCAGCCCACCTTGAGGATTTGCCTTTTGTTGTTGGTATACTTGGCTTCAGGCGCTCCTGTCGCCGCCTTCCCTTTGCCTTCGAAGGTAAAGTGAATTATTTTAAAAACCTCCGCTCATCCCGCCAGGGCCGCGGCAGAGCCGTGTGGGCTGGGCAAAACCAGGAAACACCCGTGGCTCGTTTCCCCGGCTCTGCCCAGCTCGCACGGCTCCGGCGCGGCCCTGATAGGATGAGCGGAGGCTTTTAAAATAATTCGCTTTACCTTCGAAGGCAAAGGGAAGGCGGCCACAGGAGCGCCTGAAGCCAAGTGTCTCCTCAGGGCTCCGGTTGCAGGGAGGAGCCCTGACTGGCCGCACGTGGCTGCGCCAAATGCCGCGGCGTTACTGTAACGCCGCAGCAGCAAGGGAGAAGGAAAAGCAACAGTGGTGGAAGGTCTCCCGAACATCCAAGCTGTCGCTGCCCGCCCACCCGAGGATGCAACGGGGGGGGGGAATTAAGTCACCCCCGAAAAGACGGCCTAGCCGGTTTTTCGGGGGTCAAAAAAAAATAAGGCCCGGCCTTATTATGTGAGAAACACGGTATGTATGTATATGTATGTATGTATGTATATGTGTGTGTGTGTGTGTGTGTGTGTGTGTGTGTATATATATATATATATATGTGTGTGTGTGTGTGTGTGTGTTGATTTGTCTGTTTTAAATGTATGTCAAATAAATGTTTTTTCTAGAATAAAAAACAGAATTAGAAATAATCTGAGATATTTTATTATGCGTCATAGAAGTTCAAATTTAAACTTTTTTCTGCTACAAAAGACAGCTGTGGATGTTTCTATATAATACAGTACTATAGTTCAGAACATAAATGCTAAGTGACATGGTCTCAAGTCATCATGCAACCAGACCTGATTTTATGACCATTTTATCCAAATCATTAAGCAAATCACAAGATCACTAAATAGATGAATCCTACTTGCCCAGTTGATTTTCTTGTCAGAAGCCAGCTGAAAGGAAGGCTGGCCCAGTTGAGTAGTTAAGAAGCATTCCAGTTTGGATTCCACAGATAGAAGAAAGAATATGAGGTCAGACACTAAGGTATATTTCTGGCTTTTCCAGGGGAAAGCAGACAGTCGGGCATGATTCTTATGTACAACTGAGTCAATAAAGAAACCTAAGCCTGAGAGCATTTTGTTTGCACCTGACAGCTAGAAAGGTCACAAATCAGGATCACATGACAATGCAACCATCATAAATGTGAAGCTGCTGCAAAGTGCCCAAATTATAATTAATTGCATGATTGTGGAGGTGGTGCAATGTTATAACTTCAAGGATGGGTCATAAGTCACTGTTTCTGAGGACATTGTAATTTCAAATCAACATTAAATCAAGGACTACTTGTACTGTAATTGTAAAACATGTTTATTTACCTTTGATGGCACTTTGACTTCAATAAAAAATTATCCTATGGACACTTTTTTTATAGTGTAAAATCTTACATTAAGTCAAAACAGTGCTTTGGCAAATTCATTGGAAAACTTTGTGTTGAAAGAATGCAACATTTAAGATAAAAGCAGCCCTCTTAAACTCACTTCCAAACATCACATATATAGTGCTATACTTTCTCTTATCACATCCCTATCTCAGGATAAACTAATCACGAGATGACATCACATAATTATAAATTAACACTGTAAAATTAGACTAATTAAAAACCCACGTTTAAATCTAACACTACAAGCCAATGCCTTTCAATGTTTCTATCACAAATTATGTTTTATGATTCCAAGACAACTTGGAACAGAAATATTTCACAATGGCAAATATATCACAAATCACATCGCTTTTGTCCCTGAAAGTACAAAAACTCTGTTGGTAGAGTTCAACAAATAGGATGGGGAATCAAAGAGATCTTTAACTTCATTAATCCAGGATTTTTTTAAAAATCAGGCATTTTCTAACTGACAGTTTGAAAACTTTTATATACGTGTCAGAAAACATTTTCAACCTGCTCGAACAGAAATTTCCAATCAGGAGCCGCGAAACATTCAAGGAAGGAAACCTATAAAGCTACGGAGACCTAAGCAAGAATAGTTTAAACCTTGACTATAAAAATTAATTTCAATCTTTAATTTTATTTCAGATTTCAAATGCAGCCAATGGTCCTTTGGGAGGAAATGACGCCAACCCTGAGACCCGGCATACATTAGCGAGCCCCTTGTTTTTTTACCCCTTCAAGTTTCTTCATAATAATTTTACATTTTCATTTATTGCAAGGTCCCACCACTCACCGCGGTCGGGCTGTCAGCTAAATACGAGGCAGCAATTCCAGAGGTGGGATTCTCAACAGCACTCCCCCCACCCGCGCATCTTGACCTTTCAATAACTCACGAAGGCAGAAAACAGCCGCCACCCACCCGGTAAAAAGAGAAAAGCGGCGCCCGCCATCATCTCACTCCTCCTTGACTCCGTCCGACTCACCTGCAGGTGGTTTTGCCCACACCGCCTTTCCCGCCCACGAAAATCCACTTCAGGCTCCGTTGCTCGATAATGTTGCTCAGCGTCGGCTCTAACGGCTCCACATCAGGCGCGTCCTCGAACTCTTCCGCTTCAGCCGACAGCACAGACGCCACCGCTGCCATCTTGGAACAAAATCACGTGACAAGATGCTCGGCTACACCATTTCAAAGCGGGGCTCTAATGTTAACAACCGGCGCATCAACATTTAACAGGGAGAGAAACGGCACGTCTTGTGGCCTCCTCTTGGACTTAAATCCTTAACGTCATCGTGTTAAATCACCGCGTCACAAACACATCTGACGCCAGAATAAACTACACCCCATACCTCTGAATGGTTGGTATATTCCTGTCTAAATATTTTTAACTGGATTGGTTGCTTAAGTACTTCTCCCGATTGGCCTCGGCATAAGCGGAAGACGACTCAAATACCGCCCCTCCTTTTCTCCGATTGGTAAAGGTAGGTTCATCTTAACCGGTGATTTAAGCGTCTGTTTTGATTGGCCGAAAGAGCTGTCGATTCTTGGGCCATCGGAGCGCCGTGCGCCTCAATCTGCAAAAAAAAAAAAAAAAATTCACTTCGACGTGCGCGTGGCCGGACCTTAACGACCGAGGCTTTCCCGGTATGCTTTGCGGCGGACTGGCTTCGTAATCGTTTCCCGTCATCCTGCGGGCGCGAGCAGGCTGGGTCAGGGAAGGGCTCGAGAGATGGCCGCGGCGCCAGGCGGAGAAGGCCCGGCTTCCGAGGCGGCAGGACCGGGCGGCGTCAACGTGTTCGCCAACGACGGTTCTTTTCTCGAACTGTTCAAGCGGCGCATGGAGGAAGCCTCTGCGTCGGGAGGAAAGAGTGGACGAGAAATGCCGATCGCCGGAGCCGAGAAGCGGAAAGAGACCGAACCGCGGCCAGAGCCTCCCGGGGACCCAGAGCCACCGGGAAAGAAGCGGAGCGGGAGCGCCCTCAGCTTCGTAAGGGATCTGGGCACTGACCTTTTCTCTTCTTCCCCTTTTATCCAACCCCGCCCCCCCCTTGGCCTTCCTCGAAGGACCGAGGAGCAAGAACCCTTTTTGTCAGTTTGCTTTCTCTCAACATTAGGATCTCTTGAATAAACGCAGGCAGTAATTCTCCAGGTGCCGCCTCTCTACGCTATTCGCTTCCACCAACCACCATCCCGTCTAGTATTCCCTTCTCCCCTATAAAAGAGATTACTTTCTATTAAAGCAATATGATGTTAGCAGGAGCAATGTCGCATTTTATTCTTCCTCCCCTCCCACCCACCCCCGGTCTGTTTTGAAAAGGCATCATATTGGACCCATCTTTCTAAGCATATTTTGGGGATTTGTGGCTGTTTAGTAGATCCCCCCCACTTCCTCACTGTATTAGTTCCCCTTCCCCGCCCGAAATCCGAGTAGAAACATGAACAGATCCACAGTATTTTACAGGACTGTGATGCTCCATGCTCAACACCATTCATTCCTGGCAGGTTTATATGGTTTGCTGGGCTTCATAATATTGGCTGAATAATTATTACTCTATGCCATAACCCTAATCTTGATTTGATAAGGGTCTATGCGCAGGGGTCTCCAAACTTGACTGCTTTAAGACTTGTGGACATCAACTCCCAGAATTCCTCCTCCAGTCATGTTGGCTCAGGAATTCTGGGAGTTGAAGTCCACAAGTCTTAAACTTGCCAAGTTTGAAGATCCTTGGTCGATGGTGACAGATGTCCCAACTGAGTTTTCCTTTTGTGAATGTGAAGCTGCCATTCTTGACATGCATATAATGTAGATTTTTTTATTTTTTATTTGAAAATGGAAGCAATAGAGATGGGAACGCTTTGGTCTGTTAATACGTAATGCAATGTGCTTTGCTCTTAGTTGTCTTTGGGAAAACTTCATTTTAGGCTGATTCAGCCTTTATTAAAGCACACGTAAATTAAGTGGAATGCGTTAAAAAGTTTATCAAAATGTTTTTGAAATGAAATTGCTTCCCCCTCATGTTTGTTGCTAGTGAATAGTAACAAACGTTTCTTAATACATTGGGGTTTTTTTGTGTGTGTATTCACAGTTTTAAACTCATCAGTGTGTCTCCTGGGACCCAAATGAAATCTTTTTGTTCTTGTTAATGTGATACAATAAGTCTGAAATATACTGAACCATTTTTACTTGCACTGGCTAGGGAAAATTGCAAGTATTATTCATCCTACATTAAGCATTAATTATACTTTTGAACATGAGAAATAATAAAGTCTGTTCTGCATTAAATGAAATATGATAATCCTGGCCATATTTATTGACCTGTAATTCTAATTGGGTTCAATTGAATTTATTCCTAGGTATCTGTAGGCATTGTAGCCTAAACATTACAAATAAATATGTTTTATTTCCAGTCTTTAAAATGTTGGGTGGAAGTTTTTAATTATAAACTGTTTTCCAACATGTATGTTTTCATCACCATATATAAAACAATTTGTACTTGCAATGCATGTGGCATTGCTCCAGAAATGGATTGGGGAGGGAGTGCTGTACTATCTAAAAGTGATAATTGGAACCCCTGTTTTGTTTATTGCTAACTGAAATTGACATTTTCTATTTTAAACTGTCCTCTTCAACTTAAGATCAAAAATTGTGTTCAGTATAAAAACTGAATCACATACGTGCTTATATGGTATTGTAAATACCATTTTAAATGTATGCAGCAGGCCTTTGCAGTTATATCTAAGATTATATTAGCATATACCACACTTCCCAAGACTATCAAAAAGATAATTATTGATTTTGAATTAATGTTGTATTGATTCTGATAACTTTATTGCTTTCATGATTTTGAGCAAATAAAAGTTCTTCACATAATGTATTCCAGATTGTTATATTGTAGGGAAATAAAAGTAAAAATAGAATGGTGTTCCTATTTCCCACCAGGCAGCAAACCTGAAAAGAAATTGGAATACTTCCATTTCTTGTTACTTGTTAATGTCTTTTAATGTTTGGGCTTAACTGTACAGATGTATTGGTGAACACTGCTAAGGTGCCCTTTTACCCTCCTAGCACAGCGGTGTAGGTAACGCTCGGCAGCTCTGTACAGACTGACAGGTGTGATGGCGAGCTAAGATGATCTAATTGAAGGACTCCCTATACCGTTATATAGTGGGCAACATTCCCCTTGCAGCTCCCAGGCTCGTATAACGGTTGCAGTCTTCTATCCCTTCACCCAGGTGGGCAAGCGGAGAGGGGGCAGCAAGCTAGCCCTGAAGACAGGAATGGTAGCCAAGAAACAAAAGACAGAGGAGGAGGTAAGCTGGGACACATCAGGAATAATAAATTGAGAGATGAGGGGCAGCACGGAGCTTCCTAAAAGTTTTAGTGAAGAAAGTAGCACTGTTGTTTTCATTTCAGCATTCTAGAAAGTGAAGTTGAGCTCTTTTACCTTCATGCTACCCTAGTTTAAAATTGACAATGGGATCTGTCCTTATGGGCTTGAGAAAATAGTGAATTGTTTCTTGTTCATTTGTAATAAGAACATTTTCATTCATTTCCCAAATCTGCTTTAAGTGAGATTTTTTTATGTTTATTTTTGGTATATAAAATGCATTTAGCTCCAAAAAGATCAGAGCAGCAATGTATTATCCTATTGGCCCTAACTGTACCTTATGTAGAAGATTAGAATGAGACAGGGTAATCGAAAGTCCATGCGGTAAGTATTGTGGCTGACATCTCCAATAAAATTACAAACTCTGGTTTCAATTGAATGGCTTTCCTAGATTTATATATAGGGTGATGTTCATGGGAACTGGTACCCTAAGAATGCTTTTAAGTCCAATTCTTTAAATGTGTATTCTGTAACTGGCTCCTTTTTTTTCTGTTATAGGTTTTGACAAATAAAGGAGATGCATGGGCGAAATATATGGCTGAAGTGAAAAAGTACAAAGCCCACCAGTGCAGTGATGATGATAAAACCCGGCCTTTAGTGAAATAACTTTTATCTCCAGCCTGGACTGTCTGTGATGTACATAATTATTTAAAATATCAAAGGAGTAGTGCTGTCCCACAAGACTGAATGCTGCCATGGCAGCAGGAGACTTGCCATACTTTTATATTTGAAAACTTAAGAGCCTCCTTCACTGATTCGTTTATTGTTTTCCCCTTCTTCTGAGAGCTAAGAACTTTGACTTAGTTGCCAGATTTTTAATTTGTAACACCCTCTCTCCAAATAGTGGAATTGGTCTGACATTTCTTTCCCCAAATCATCAGGCATCAGGCATTCCTTTGCTGATAAACCTTCAGCATTGAGCCTTTGCTTAACATTTTCTGTACCCCTGAACTTTTTACTATAGTACATGCTAAGAAGCCCTCTTTTATCAAATTCAGTACCTTTTACTGCTGAAGATAAATTTAAAATATGGTTGCAAATAGTAAGTACTGCAGACTGTAATAATTCCAGATAATCCCTCTCTTCACTATGAAAGACAAATGAATCTGGATCTCTTGATACGTTTAATGTCTGACTGTTCTGTAGTTGCATTTTTGCCCGTATTGTTCTCTTCCCTTACTTCAATTTCACTGCATATTGCAGCGAATTATGGAGTTTTGTATTTAATTCCAGCTGCTGCTTAAGTTTTTTCCTAGTCTTTTCCTATGCATGCTCCAAATCTAATACTGGGGGGTATCCTGTGCCTGTCTACTATCTAAGAAGCAAAATGCTTGGTCTGTTTTTGTACCAAGTATTATATATTTGAGAAAAATCACTAAAATTACCTTAGGTGCTCTCTGCAATGAATTCTAGATACTATAATTTTAACCTTTGACTGCTCCTATGCCTCACTCCCAGGTGTTATGAGCAGAGGTCCTTGGCTCTGAAAGCAAAAGCTTAGGGCTGTAGCCATTGTATTGATAATGGCTTTTTGCATGCATGGGACCTATGCTCTTTTACCACTTGTTTACATATGCTGAGTTTGATTTTTTTAATACTTTCCATAAAATACTGTTGAAATGGAAAGCACCTGATGTGCATTGGACACTGAAATTGAGCAGGGCAATTTCATATAAGGGCTTCTGGTACAATCCCAACAATCGAGTTCAAGTCAGGAAACACTAATGAGAACTTCTGTTTTCTGGCTGGCATAGAGAAGCTATTTTTTGTTGTGGGATTGGGTTTCACTTCTAAATGTTATCCAGTTTGTGCCATTTTCTCTTAATAGATTGGGCTGGTTTTTGAGCTGCACTATTAATGTGATATTCACAAAGATGGATTTGTACTCTGGAGAAAAACAAACTAAGGTTTGATCTCACTGTTTGGGTCTATTTTTCCCTTCTTCAATCATCATTGTTCATCACTGGACCAGATCTATTAAATACATTTCTGCCTTGAAAAGGCCATTGGTTTCCACATTATCTTCGGCCTTTGGGTAATGCATTTGAAGAACAATGCTTTCTTTATATCAGGGTTCTTTAAGCATTTTTGCTGGAATTTCACATAAAACATCTGAGTGCTCTTTAGTGTAACTAAGAACTCTCATTGCATAACAGGTTTTACATGCACAATGAGCATGTAGGAACTATTTCTGAATATGGTAAGGGAGTGGTTAGATGAAACAAAAATTCTGTTTTTGCCTCATAATATGAGATTGCTGTTAAAACACCAGAAAAAAATAAAGATTTAGTATTTTATTTTCAGCCTCCTGTAAAGTGATGCCAATTTTCTTCTTTGTTATATACTCGATCAGGCTTGCGACTTCATTGCTTTTGACCTCTACAGCCCAGATTAGAGTACTAATCATCCTTAATACAGTCATATTTTTTAAATAATAGAATTGTGTTGTGGGTATTTGTTGGTATATGTTTCCCATATATATATTTTCTAGATAGCATTATTTAAACATGCAAAGTCATTAAAACTCTACTGAAGGTATAACCATAGCATCCAGATTTTCTTTTGCTTATGTGTTGATAAGAATTCTTTAAATACACATGACACTGAACAATAGTTATCAGAAGGTTGAAAGCTAAATGAGTTGTTCTGCACTTAAAATGATTAGAATTGTTTTCCATAAATATGCATTGTAAAGTTAGAGAAAATGGATTATTTTTCTTATAGTAATTGTGCAGCCAAAAAAAAATATTTCTAAACTGTCATGGTTTGCACATGCAGACACTACTAGGTTCATGCATTGTGCTAAGCCCGAATGAGACAGCCCATGTTAAAGCTTACCATATTGCATAAACAGTTATAATTACATAATGCAAAAAAATGGCATTTCTGTCTATAAACTAGTGAAATGTTGTATTTTGCTTTCAGTTAATGAAAAAAACAAGATGCATTTGCCTTTTTCTGAGTTATATTTACCATATTTTTGAAAAAAAATAGCAGTTAATGGAATAGGTAAAAACCATAATAAGTGGAGCATGAAAACAGTTCCTTTCACAGTACACAAGCTGTTGCTCATATTTTCCAGAAGTTCTTTGACTATTGCATGTACTTTGTATTTTGAAATATATCTTTTACTAAATGATAGTCACTGCTGTTCAGAAATAACTTCATTTCCACTGCCCAAGCTATTTTCATATCAAAGTTACAATTTTGGGTTATATTACTAGGTTTAATCAATCATATAAGCCACATGGAATTGATCCTCTGTTCTGTGGATTTTTTTTCTTTTTATGAAGTAAACAGTAATTACCTTACCAAGTGATTCTTTGGGATAGAAAAAAGAAGTTATTGATAACACTTCTCAAGTGATAGTCCCTTATAGTAGACCGCCCATCTTTTGCATCTCTCCCCCTTTTTCTTTTTGATTTTCCAAACCAGTAAGGAGAGGGGCTTTAAATATCCTTACATGCAGCACTGGAGATAGTGATCTCACCTCTCGAAAGGAGCTATGCCACTTTTTAAAGTCTTTTATATATTGCCCGCTCCAATGTTCTGAGTGGCTACAGGGAATTCATAGATGAAGTGAAATGTTTGGCACAATATTGTACCCTGTAGGAGACTGCTTGTCCTGAAAGATATATGCCATGTT